AAAAAACTTTATAAAAATGTTTTTTTATGTCTTTAAAACTTGGGTAATTTCTGTTTTTGCAGAAATGAGTCAAATTAAGCAACCTCTTCTCTTTGTCTCCATCAGGGCTAAACACAACCATTCACACATTCATGATTAAAGAGAACAGGCAGGTGATTGACAAGAGATACTGCCTGAGGGATGAGTGTGGGTAGGTAGATCAGCATCATAGATCTGTTTCTAGAAAAGTATCAGTCTCTGCATTGGGCTTCAAACATTAGCCTGAATTTGCAGCTGGTTCTAATAACATTTATGTTTTTTCCCTTCAGGCCAGAGCGATATGTTTTCAGAGTTCCCATCAGCCCGTTTGTTCCTGTTAACATGAGGATCACTCTGCTTATGAAGTAAGAACTCACTGAACAGAAAAAGAGAAAAAACAAGCTTGTTCACATAAAAACTAATTTAGATAAATACTTTGCCTTTAAATTAAAGGATACATTGTTAACATATTTGATTAAGGAGTTTCAAATTCTTTTTAAATAAACTATTTAAATATGATGCATTCCAACATAATCTTTTCCTCTTGGATATTTTTATTTCACTTCATGAATATAATTGGAATCATCAAGTTCCTAATAACTTGGTCTTTAGCTTAGGATAGAATTAGCTGCTTCCTTTTTAGGTGAAAAAATAAATAAATTTACACCTTAAATGTATTACTTCCAAGGTAATATCATATTGTTGCCTTCAGCTAACATACTGTTAACTACAGTCAAGTTGCTTTGCCTTAACAATATTTCAGAGTAAAACTTGTTATGGACATATGATATTTAAGAACTGTATGTTGGTGAAGATTCTCTGTCCTCCAGGCGGTAGTCATTCCAAAAAAGTTAAGAAAAAAAAACAATCCCCTTGACTTTGTTTCAAAGTTTGAAGATGTTCCCATCCAGGAACCTTTTTCAATTGAAAATGTCAGAAATAGCGTTGAGTTTGAGGCTTTATAGAGTGGACCAACAAAGCTTTGTTTTGGCTTAAGGGCTGGTTATCCTCAGCAGTGCATTGCAGTGAGCTTGTCACAGATATTTGTGATTTATGCCTAATTTTAAAGCGTGGTCTGCCCAATGTTATTCCACGCAACAACGTAAGAAGGACAATCAGGAACTAGCTGTGGGTCTATATACGGCGGAGGCGGTGAGGCAGTGGGGAAAAGTTTGTGCAACAACAGAGGGACATGAGGGCGAAAAAGAGCGGGGATCCGGGTGGACAAAGGGTCCTGGCGTTCTTGCGCACCGCGCTCTTCTAGCTGGTCCACCTTCACGAGTCGTTTTCCACAATGGCGGTCATACAAACAAAACAAGCCGGTAAGGAACCAAACAGGAAATATGCATAGTGTAGAACAGATGTAGAATTGACTAATCAGAGGCCTCCTGTCTGCGGTCACCTACGATTCTGGAGTGGTGAAACAGAGTGTCTGTGCAAAGGGGCGGGGGTACATTTGCATTTACTGCGACACACATGCAGACGAACTGGTTTCTGAGTATAAATCAGCCTTTAGAAAACATGCAAATTGAACTGGACAAATGGGTCCACCCCTTCAGCTTTCAAAAACCTACAATGCAGCAATTGAGTTTATTTCTTCTGTCATAGCAACCCCCACCCCCTTACAGGGGAACCGAAGACTTCGCCTGTTCAGCCAGGCCAACGATTCCCTTTAACGACCCCGCTTTCAGAGACATAGACAGGTATGGGGTATTACAGGCTAACAAAAAACCCAAATGGACCGACCCGTTGGTCTGTTTCAATTTGCACGTTTTCTAAGCCAAACCAAGGCTTTGTTCGTCGACTCTATAAAGCTTCTAACTCAACCAAATTTCTGACATTTTGAATTGAAAATGGTTTCTGGATGGGAAGCGAAACGTCTTCAAACTTGGAAACAAAGTCCAGTGGATTGTTTTTT